ATGTTTTTAATTGAGCCCTACTCACGCTACAGTAGCTGTCAGGTGGCAGTGAGGAACAGTAATGAGGCAACTCTCTCCTAAATCAAAGCAACTTCCAAAACAAGCTAACTGTAATAGCAAAACTTCCAGCAGTACGTTAGCAGAGATCTCTGCCCCGGCACAGTTGTTCAACAGTGAGAAACGTCAATGCTCGACAGCCGTTCTGTAGAGAGCTGTTATTTCCTCTGAGTATTTTAGAAATGGTACTGAGTCTGACTATACAAACCATTTCTATAGTAGCGAGCAGAAAAAAATAGGTCGCGACAAGAGAGCCTGTCAAAATGCAGCGCATGTAAAACACTCACTGTAAGTGGTCTGTTGACTTCAGCATGCTTGTGCAACATATGGTGTCCTCATTTAGGTGAGATTGAGTTTCGGGGGATGGCGTGGTGTAGTGGATGTATATAGCAATTCAAATTCACAGCATATGCAGAGGAAGACTTTATCCCCTTTCACACATACAGTCTTTACTGTTAAATTACCGGCAAGTTACCATTAAGAGATCATGTGTGAACAGGACCTTTTCAAAAATCCTGGTAAATTTGTTCTGGCAATCATATCGTTCTTATGGAGATTACATGATTACTCTGAGCTGTTTACAAAGCTCCGCTGCTTTTTAAATAGTTTTTCTATGTAAATATGTGCTGGATGGACATCTTTGACCATTGCGCCTCGCAGCTTTTTCAGCGTGTCGCGCTTCTCCATTCATCAGGGCTGCGACTCTGCAATTGGATACTATTATGCACATCTCGTGTTTATAAGAGCAAAAATGTATATTAGATTTTGGAGGGGACATTAAAAATCTTGGCAAGGCAAGTAAACATTTTGAAAAAAAAATGAGCTCAAGAAGCTTCCTTTTTCTCCTTTAAGTTCTATCACTTTGTCTCTTTCATGCACACATTCCCCGTAACTCCGGTCGATCCGGCTCACTCCTGATTTTTTCCTTTTTTTTTTGGTCCCCTCTCCTTCTCTAGCCTTCAGCTCTGGCATCGATAGCATGCTGGATGATATGGTCAGCCTGTTGGGGACTGATAATGCAGGCTTACACACATGGTAAATTTGTTCTGGCAATCATATCGTTCTTATGGAGATTACATGATTACTCTGAGCTGTTTACAAAGCTCCGCTGCTTTTTAAATAGTTTTTCTATGTAAATATGTGCTGGATGGACATCTTTGACCATTGCGCCTCGCAGCTTTTTCAGCTGCACAAGAAAATGCACAATGCAATCTCTCAGGATGAGCCCTGGTCCTAATCTGTCTCCATAGCAACGGGGTCTGCGTAGGACTCCCCCGGTTGGCCTTGAGTGTGCCGCTATAAGGATCCTGCCTCATGACCTAGAGCGAGCAAGGGATTGTGATTAGCTATCAGCGTGATCATCAGATAAAAAAATTACAGCTAATTGCTTCTCAGAGAGCAAGTATTGAGCAACTGATATGGCTGCGATAAGCTTACAGAAGGAGAAGGAGACTCTAGCTGGGGGCCGATGTGACTCTCAGACCTCAAGCTGAGTGGTTTAAGTATGGGTTAAGAAACAGAGTCATTTTACTTCTTGGTGTGCTACTGATGGAAAGAGGGAGGCGTTTTATTTACTGAGCTCGAGCTGTATGATTTTCCTCTGCCTCATTGACTACAATTAGGAACAACCTTCAGAGTAAATGCTTTTCAGTTTGGGCTGTTTGTAATGGGTTATATGTGAAACTCATAGGCACTCTTCATATTTACTTTATATAACCATATTCATGTACAGTGGTTTTTACATGGCGCTCCAAGGAAGTCCAGAGAATGCCATAGTATTTCCATGTTATCATGTCAACCAGTATGGGTTTCTCAATGGCTAATTCCAGTATCTACTGTCTAAATGTCAAATAAGGTACACATACTAAATAATTATAATAATAAAGCAATTGTTTGTTAGATTAATATACACTACCATTCAAAAATGTAGGGTCAGTAAGATTTTTTTTTTTTTTTAAGAAATGCATACCTCTATTCGGGCAAATTGATCAAACGTGACTATAAAGACATTTAAAATGTCTAAACTAAATTGTCTTCTTTTGAACATTTTATTCATCAAATAATCTTGAAAAAAATCCCAATTTCCTCAAAAATATTAAGCAGCAGTTTCCAACATTGAAAGCAAATGCACCAATCAGCATATTAGAATGATATTGAAGTATAATTAGTCTCTAAGATATATTAGTATATTAAAATATATTAAAATAGAAAACAGTTATTCTAAATTGTAAGAATATTTCACAATATTATTGTTTTTATTTACAGCCTTGAAATAAATTTTGAGTGAGTACGTTTTTTTTATCGAAATAAATGTTCATATTCAGCAAAGATGCAGTGACATTAAAGTGACATTCAAATAAATGGTGTTCTTTTTAACTTTTTATTCATCAGAGAATCCTGAAAAAAAAAATCACTATTTCCACAAAAATATTAAGCAGCACAACCTTGATAATAAAAATAAATGTACTAAGCATATTTATATCTATATCAGCATATTTAAGTAAATTAATATATATCTGTCTTTCACTAGTTTAAAAAAATAGTGGCCAACTGGCCTCGCAGCTTTTTCAGCGTGTCGCGCTTCTCCATTCATCAGGGCTGCGACTCTGCAATTGGATACTATTATGCACATCTCGTGTTTATAAGAGCAAAAAATTCTGATCGGCTAGTAATGTTAGTTTGGTTGAGAGTGAAAGCTGTACTCCTCTCAAATGCATAAAGCGCAGCATAATTTGAAATCACGAGTTTAAAGTTTTTCGATCGCGCGTCTCCAGTGAAGCTGAACTCAATTCGCACGGACCGACCATCACGCAGAGAACACGCAATCATGCAGGATACAAATGCACACTTCACACGATCTCACAACTGGATCCGACTAAGTTTGCAAGGTTTGTGAAATTAAATGCTCGTTATAGTCATTCAAAGATTTGTTTAAATGATATAAATGTATATTTGCTGAATGCTGACGGCAAACAAGAAAGTATTATAATGTTTGCCTTTCTATTACTAATAATATAAAAGCAATCGTTATAATACTTTTTGTATACATTTTAATTCCTTTGTTTAACCGTTCTATCTGATTATTAGACAGACTTCTATCCGTATTAGACAGAACAACAGCGAACAAGAGGGAGAATGTGAGCACTGTGTGCTCAGGCACTGCCGTTCTCAGCGCCGTCAAAATAAAAGTCCCGCCTCGAACACATCGGCCAAACAGAAAAACTTATCGGCCAATGCCGATATTTGAAAAATGCCAAATATCGGCCGATATATCGGCCTTGGCAATATATCGGTCGACCTCTAGAAAAACATGTTAACTGTAATTATTAATATCAATACATTTAATTATTTATTGATCACTAGTGTCTTTTTACATTTTATGTAAACAAAAATTCATGGTAACACTTTATTTTAAGGTGTCCTTGTTACACATAATTAATGCTGTTCTGTTGCTTTGACACAATCTGTATTGTTAAAAGCGCTATATAAATAAAGGTGACTTGACTTGACTTGACTTATAATAACAATAGATTATGCATAATTACATGCAAGTAACCCTAAGCCAAACCCTAGTCACAACCCTTACCATATAGTAAGTGCATGTAGATAATTAGTATTACTCAATACTTAAATGTATAATTACACTGTAACAAGGACACCTTAAAATAAAGTATAACCAAATTCACTTATAGTTACAGTGTTTAAGGGGTATTTAGACACTGTGCCATGTCCAACAACACCTTTAACCATGGTAAAATCACTGTGACACAGCCTGCCATGCTTTAATATATGTATACAACTGTACACAAGACGTCCATCACTTGTGGTTGTTTTGGTAATGTACAACACAAAAATAGGATGATATAGCACTCCCCAGATGAGCCATTGTCCCTGTTGAGGTTAACGACTTAGAACAGGTGCGAGTAGGCTAATGAGGGGAGGGTTCTACACCTGTTTCACAATCAAACCCACTTCATGGTGTGTTGAAACCGTACCAAACAAGCCAAACACCTCACAGCTGAAACTTCAGGATGAATGCTTAGTTCCGATGATCCTTTTTCTAAAAAGAATTAGAGTTTTTTCTTCCAAAACCATCTGTTCATGATGTCCACATATCTACTGTTTTGGAGCTGGTTTCTTGGATGGGAGATGCTAAGTCGTGAGCATGTCCCTCTTATAAATCTGTCATTTTTAGCGAGGTGTGTGTTATTACCAGACATCTACTGCTGTGTTTGCCTGAGCTGTCTGCCACCACACGAGGAATAAATCTGGTTAAATTAGTGAAAATGAGCCCAGTAATGTTTAATGAGCACCCTTGCTGATGAAAAAAGCTATTTTATGTCTCTTAAAGATATTGCCTTATCTGCCCCCTCTCACTCTTTCTCTGTTTCTCTGTTATATTGAAGAATCTTTCTCCTCTGGGACTGTTAGGATTGAAGTTAGGATAAATATTGATAGAAGCTAATAGTCACTTAGTATTAAGTTATTTTCCTTACTTTTTTAGCACTGGTGTCATAAAATAAGATTTTTGCTCGAGAGGTGCATCTCTTTGCATCCAATGCCGTTCATCATTGTTTACAGATGTGGTTGTGTGGTGAATGGGACACTTCAAAGCCTCACGTAATATGCATACTTTAATCAATTTGGTGATGCTTTTGTAGTGCACATCCACGGGCATTGTGCTGAAAAGGCAGTAGATTTGTGACAGTAGTTCACACCTTTGGATTATTGGGCCAAATCTCAGGTATTACAGGATTACATGGGATTATTGTCACACTGGATTATTAGTTCAGACACCACATAGTGTTTTGGTGTTACATGGCATCCCATTCAGAGTAAATATAGACCAAATTGGAAATATTTTTACTATTAACTTTTCTTTGGGTAATCTTAAATGTATTTTGCAACATTGTAAAGCTGTTGTTTTTTCTGTTGTGTTTCAGCTTGGCGAGGACACCTTCAATCGGGCCAAGCTTCTCAACGTTGGCTACACAGAGGCTCTTAAAGACGCAGAATACGACTGCTTCATTTTCAGTGACGTGGACCTGATCCCTATGGATGACCGGAACCTGTACCACTGTTATGACCAGCCCCGTCATTTTGCCATTGCCATGGACAAATTTGGCTTCAGGTAACATATTAAATATTGAGGGAACCACAAAGTGCATGAGTCTGTTGACACATTATATTTGAAATAACATTTAGTCTCACTTTTATAATTCTGGTCCCTTTTTATATATAAATAATCAGAAGAAAATGCATTCAAATGAAATCAGTGGCATGTTTTATATGAATTTAATATCCTTGTAGAATTGTGGATTTGCCAGATTTTATTACAAATATGCTGGGCTGCATTTGTTGCTATTTACATACATATTAATAGATGCCATGTTTGTATTTGTCTTTATTTCTTTGCAGAGAACAGAGTCAGTTAATCAAACAGCCAGAGCTTGAGGGCTGTCTGTCAAAGCCTGTGCTTCTGATGATTAATTGCTTTTTTCCACTAGGGAAGATATATGTCTTATGACGCTTTGTCATCTGGAGCTCTAGAATACAGCTGAATTATTGTGTATGAAAAGTTCATTTGTTAGGTGCAGTGCCAGTCTAGACAGACCTGGAGCCTTGACAAGCATATGTATCCATTTTCCAAGGCAGACAATTATTTAGAGGAGACAGACCGGTTTTCTTCAAGTGTAATAGCTGGAGATATTAAAACACTGGTGAAGGTTCACCGTATTATGTTTTTTTCTTCTTCTTTTTTTTCCAACTTGAAATGAATTTTGTCTGTCTTCTGTTGGCAAGCAGACAAGTTGTCCTTTGCTCCATGGTGTTTAATTTCCTGTCTTTGTGTGATGGGCCAAAAGGACCAAGACAATCTTAACTCTCTGCCTTCCTCTGCTGTCCTCAGGGATTTTGTTAAAATCAGCCTCTATCTTAAGATATGAGCAGTGTTGGGAAATTAGTCCAAAAGATAATTGTTTACTAATCAGTTGGTATGTGTAAAACATTTAATGATAGTTACTGTAACATGATTAAAAAATAATCCTCAAAATTATTGACATTATTATTTAAAAAAAACAGCAATAACCAACAAGATTAACATTCTTATTAAATAGTTAAACATGGTATATTAAATAGTTATTAACTAGTATATATTAATATGATGATTATTTATGTTTTTATTCTAGTGTGTGTGTGTGTGTGTGTGCGTTCATGTAGGGTTTTGCTTCTCTTTCTCCCTTATGTCGCACATTTGTTTGCGTGGGTGGATGTGGTTGCTGTCATTGGCAACATACACCGCGGTAGCCCAAGGCGAACCCCGGGTGGCTACCCATGATGCACCTGCCAGCCCACAGCCCAGCGGGCCTCTTAAAAGAGGATACATGGAAACCATGTTTTCAACCGCTTAAAGTAGACTTTCCAGACTGTATTCATCCAGTAGAGCATTTGTTTGAAGGCTTCGAACACTTGCTTGAGATGTAATCGCTCTGTGGTTTAAAGGTCAAATTATAAGACTTAGTTCTGACAACCAACAAGGCCTTTTAATTCGTCCTTTGACCTGCAATGGAGTATGTATATTTATATCAGCCTTTAATCCTGTAGACGATGATTCCTCAGATAATTCTCATCTGACAGTGGCCTCCTGAACCGTCTATGATGAGAAACGGATTCTACGGTTTATGGTGCACTTAAGCTTTTACAGGGCGTTCTTTGAGTTGTGTAGCTCAACCGAGAGGCCTGAGGGGTGGCAACCAGGAGAAAAGTGATGAAAGATAGTTGGGAGAAGGATCAGATAGCATTTGAAAATTTTGGATCCCCTGTGGGAGCACTCTGTGGCTCTCTAGAATCACTCATACGAGATGCAGTTTTGTTAAATTCGAATGCTTGAGTTGACTGACTAAAGGGCTCAGTTCAGAGAGGGCTTACAAAAACGATATTTCACTGTAGACTTGAATCAAAAAGAAAATCTAATGGGAATCCAAAGCCCCCTACATTCCAAATGGACGTAGGCAGGAATAGACCATTTGAGGTAATATTACTGCATAAAATGTTGTTGATGATTAAAGGGTCTTTTGCACCCAGATTTGAGGCTTTATATTTAAAATGTGTGTCATCTGAATAAGAATGATATGGATCTGTTCCCTCTTGCAGGCTA